AAAATTCACATCACTCAGGCAACATAAATGAAAACTAAAGGCATGGTTAGCTTAGGGAAATGATGTCTACATTTTTTATTTACAAATTAACCATTAATGATGCTTGTATAAGGAGTTCAAAGTTGAGAAAACTTACCTTAAAACTGGAAATAGTGTTCGGAGTTTAAGCACTCCTAGAGGTGTTGTGATGATCTAGATAGCTTCACTGAACTCCTAGGAAGCTATTGCAATGCTTACTTTGTACTGAAAGTGCCTGAATCTTTCTAGAGAAGTCAAGTTGCAGGTTTGAGTTTTTGGAAATGGAGGATGGTGCAAATGGTGTTACAATTGTGTATCACTATCTTGGATAGTTTCTAAGTGAGGTATGGAAGCTTTGTAATTGATTTAGAGTGAAAATGCACGAGTGGATTGTGAGTTTGAAGTTCAAGGTAAAAAATGACAAGTTATGGAGGTTTTGATGCAAATTATAGTTTGAGGGAGTATGATGGGGTTAGAGGGCTCTTCAACTCGTGTATTAGCTTGCAAATAACTTCTATGTTTATAGAGAAAAGGTTTTAGAGCTTGAACTCATCAGAATGAAGAGATCACATGTTATGGTTATGTGACTTGATTTTGAAGCAAACTTGACATACATTGTTCCAATGTATAGTACAAGGCTCATAGGGTGGTTGACAGGCTTGTAGATGGTTGCTTCTTCACTTTACAATGGAGTGTGATCAGAAGAAACAAGTGCAAGGCTCAAGGAAAGTAGACTTTATGATTAAAGTCACTTTACCAAAATGGAAGTCTTGGCTTTCTTCCTTTAATGGCAAACTAACTTGGATAATGCCTCAAACACTTGGACAATGGCTCAAACAGTTATGTACAAATTTAATTATGGAATTATTTACAAGTTTGAAGGTCTGCAAAGCAAGATTATGCAGCATGCTTGAAGATTGGATCATAAGGTTCACTCAAGTTCGTGATGCCAACTTATTCTCTTTGATTCTCCTAGCTCAAAAATGATCTTCTTAAGTTCTTGGAAATTTTGGAAAGCTTGAAAAATTGTCTGCAACCCTCATGTTTACCACTTTGGCTAAGTAAACTTGGAACTTAAATAGGCCAAGAATTTAGGACAAAAATCTGCCTAAACTTGTTGATATTTTCACTAAGTGTTTTGTAAAAATGTCATGACTTAATGAGCTAATATCTTCAAATCTAAGAATTTTTTGGACATAAACCCTCTAATAAAAAGTTGTAGAATTCATCAAGATCTACAAATTTCATGTTGAAAGTTTTCTTTGAATCATCTTTAATCATGGTGAAAAAATGTCATGAAATAGTGAAATTATCAAGGGTAAAAACAGTTAGAATTTTTCTAAGTATTGAAAACTTTGACTTTTTGTGGACTTTTATTGACTTTCTTGATTCTTGATGATCAAGTTTGATATTTTTGAATATCTTGATGAATCTTGATTTTTGAAATTCAATGTTGACCAAAAAGTCAAAGTTTGACTTTTGTGTATTAGTTGACTTTTCATCAGTTGATCCAAATTTAAACTATCAATCCTTTGATCTTGAGAAATGATTTGAGCCATAAAATTAGGTCAAGACATTGTGTTTTAATCCTTAAGGTCATGCTTAAAGCTATTAGGTCATGTACTAGGTCAAAAGTCAATGATCAGTCATCCTTAGTCAAAACACTAATTTTGACAATGTTGCTCCTTTGATTATTTGAATGCTTTCCTTGAGGAATTGTGATCAACCCTTGATCAATTGATGAATATGACTTCAAAATGGCGATGTTGGCCAGAAATCATGAATTTTGACTGTACGTTGACCATAGTTGACTTTTTACCCAACACAATTGATTTTCAGTCATATGAGCAATTGACTGAGCAAATTTGTGGTGCAAGACTTGAAACTTGGTATGAGTAATCTTGGAGACCTATAATGAACCATGAAATTCACTTAAGGTATTAAAAGTCCAACTTTCCTTGTGAAAACCAAAACCCTAATTTATGGTCTCAGTGCGTAGGAGGTGGGCTTGTCTGATCAACTCTTGAGCATCCTTATGCATTTGAGATCTTTTGTAGGAAATGTCTTAAAGACAAGGGAGGGAAAATTTTGGGGTACAACAGTTGCTCCTGTTTAATCTTCTTAAACCTGAAGAGTTAGATTAGCTTGTCCGCCATTCGTGACTTGAAGGTAGAAGAGGGTTGAACACTTAAGTGTCTAGAAATTTGCACTCGCTTGTATATGAAGTAAACCTGTTTGTTGATTATATCGAGAATGGGCTTATAGATGCAATTTGGAGAGGTAATGAAGAGTTGTCCAAGATGGGCTTATAGATTCCATCTAAAGTAACTGTTAATAGAGAAATTAGACTAAGTATATGCTCGACTTTAATCCGAGCCAGAAAATGTCTACTGGAAGAAGTATCAGAATAAATCTTTCAATCGATTTATCTGATCCAGAAGATGCCTGTGTCTGTCCTTAATTGGAGGAAGTATCAGAATAAATCTTTGGTCAATTTAATCTAAGCCAGGAAATGTCTACTGAGAGAAGTATCAGAATAAATCTTTAGTCGATTTAATTTGAGCCAGAAAAGGTCTACTGAGAGAAGTATCAGAATAAATCTTTGGTCGATATAATCTGAGCTAGCAGAGGTCTTTAAATCTTTTACTGGGAGAAGTATCAGAATAAATCTTTGGTCGATTTAATCTGAGCCAGAAAAGGTCTACTGAGAGAAGTATCAGAATAAATCTTTAGTCGATTTAATATGAGCCAGAAAAGGTCTACCGAGAGAAGTATCAAAATAAATCTTTGGTCGATTTAATCTGAGCCAACAGGGGTATTTAAATCTTTAATTGGTAGAAGTATCAGAATAAATCTTTGGTCGATTTAATCTGAGCCAGAAAAGGTCTACTGAGAGAAGTATCAGAATAAATCTTTGGTCGATTTAATTTGAGCCAGCAAAGGTCTTTAAAACTTTAACTGGGAGAAGTATCAGAATAGATCTTTGGTCGATTTAATCTGAGCCAGAAAAGGTCTATTGAGAGAAGTATCAGAATAAATATTTGGTCGATCTAATCTGAGCCAACAGAGGTCTTTAAATCTTTAATCGGGAGAAGTATCAGAATAAATCTTTGCTCGATTTAATTTGACCCAGAAAAGGTCTACTGAGAGAAGTATCAGAATAAACCTTTGGTCGATTTAATTTGAGCCAGCAAAGGTCTTTAAATCTTTAACTGGGAGAAGTATCACAATAAATCTTTGGTCGATTTAATCTGAGCCAGAAAAGGTCTATTGAGAGAAGTATCGGAATGAATCTTTGGTCGATCTAATCTGAGCCAACAGAGGTCTTTAAATCTTTAACTGGGAGAAGTATCAGAATAAATCTTTGCTCGATTTAATCTGCGCCAGAAAAGATCTACTGAGAGAAGTATCAGAATAAATCTTTGGTCGATTTAATTTGAGCCAGCAAAGGTCTTTAAATCTTTAACTGGGAGAAGTATCAGAATAAATCTTTGGTCGATTTAATCTGGAGCCAAAAAAGGTCTACTGAGAGAAGTATCAGAATAAATCTTTGATCGATTTAATTTGAGTCAACAGATGTTTGAAGGGAATGTTCATCGTGTAGATATTTGTCATGTCTTATTTCAGGGAATGACCTACAATTTGTTTTGCGGATTTGTTGATGATATCGGTCTGTCGATTGTTTTTTCCTGAAAAAGTAAAGAGTTAACTGTGTGCAATGTCATGATGTATGAAATGCACTGCGTAAAGATTTTTTCTTTATATTTTTGAAAATAGACTTTATAAAACTGTTTTTCAAAATATTACAAATTTTTTTATATTTGTTTTTTTTTTTAAATTAAAACACTAACTTTGAAATTCTATAACATAAATATACAACATTGAATATCAGAACATAATTAAAATTACAATGTTTTAAAAAAAATTATAGTTCAAAATTAATTTTTATAAAAATTTATTTAAAATAATTTCAAAATTAAATGATTTTTTGAAATTTTGATTTCCAAAAAAAATCAATAAAATATCTAAAATAACTATTCAAACGAGATTTCTATTTAATGTTTTTATAAAAAAATTATCTATAAATTTTTTTTACACAAATTTATGTAATACTATAAAAATTATTTTTTTAAAGAAAAATCACAACAAACTGGTCTAAAATTGGAGTGATAGAGATAATCATTTCAAATTTATTATAGTAATAGTGACATGTTTGGAATATTTTGTGGATGTAAAGCTGTAAGAGAAATTGCACTCCTCTCTTTCTCTCAGAGTGGACCCTTATTAGTTATTATCAATGTGATCCTCTTTTATTTTCTCTCTTTTTCTCACACTCCCTTTGATTCCTACAGTTTATTCCAATAGCGTTATTATGATTTTTTACCAAATAATTTGTTTAATGATGAAATAAAACCATCTATAAAAATAAATGATGAATCAAAATCCTAAACATGAGAAAGGAAAAACAATATCAATCATAAACTAAAACAAATGTCAAAAGCAAATATTTATAAATGTTTACAATTACAAAGAATTGAAAGTGTTGCATAAAGAATTGCTTCAAATAGCATTATCATGTTATACTCTACAATACTTGTAAACAAATTATTTTAACTTTTTAAAGCCATACTTGATGCACCCCGATAACACATCATTAAGTTTTTAAATCTTCAATTATAATTAATATATATTAATTTTAAATTATTGATTAAAATATTAAATAAGTGACCTGTCGCGAATTCAAACTCATGACTCTTAATTTGATATATCTGCACAATTATCAAATGGACTAATTTAATGAGACAGATTACATATAATTTTCTTACAAAATACACACTTTATCAATTCTTTCATCTATAAGAGAAAGAAAAAAAAGAGACTATGACTAAGACCTATGAACTATAAAATATTTTACATTCTTCTGTACAATGATTACATGTAACCACTAATGTAGTAGAAATATTTCTTAGGCTTGTATATAACTAAGCAAGAGAGCTTGAAGGAGTATAATTGGCATCATCAAGTTTGAGAGAGCTATGGTTTCTACCATAGAAAACATGAATAATAACTCCTAATGCTAGCCATACAGAAACTCTCACCCAAGTACCACCCCTTCAAAAAATATATATAAAAAAAAACATAAATTAGATAATTAAATTTGAAACATGAAAAAATATTTTATTATATTTATCTATCTTTTTTAGGTTTATTAAATAATTAATATGTTTGAGCCGTATATAATTAGATATATTAATTATTAAATAAATATAAAAAATAACAGATTTAATGTATATTGATTTTTTTTTTTTAAATTGAGAAGGGAGGAATAAACTTTCAAAATTGGAAATGGATACTTACCCAAGACTAATAAGTAGATAGGAATTTATAAGAATGGAAATTATAGGTAGCAGTGGCACCAATGGACATGTGAAACCTGGAAACAAATTAATAAGAATTATTTTCATTTCAAAACTCATTTTACGATAAATAATTGTAAACCATATACATACCTCCAGAGTTTCCAAACTTGTGTGTTGCATCATCTTGATCTATACATGTTAGAAAGACAAGGCCAGACAAAACAAGAGTGCCACCAACTCCACATAATGTAAATCTAACTGAACTGTCTAAGAAAAAACATAAAATGTCATGCAACATAAAAAAAAAAAATATATAAATTTATCAATGTTTTTGTAACTTGAAAAATGAAATATCCACGACGAACCTGAGAAAATATGTAGAAGCAGCTGCAAATGTAAGTATAAACACACCTAAGCACATGAATGCTATTACACAACCAACAATTTGTTTCCTATTGCCAATATGTACAACTGCATCCATACACAAATAGAAGGAAACATTAAACACGACACTAACACAGATATCATGTTGATGTCTGATATTACCACATGTCAGATATCAGACATGTCTTCCATCTGAAGTGTCGGTGCATGATAGAAAAACTAAATAGAAAAGAAAAAATCATAACTCACATGTGTCTATGGCAAGACTTTTGGGAATAAGGGGATAATCAACGGATATATCCTCTTGAACAACTAAGCATTTATTTTTTGCATCTTTTTTGAATGTTTCCAAATGGCTCCAGACATTCGACTCTGCATCAATTGGTTCTTGTAGAGAAGGGGGCAATGGAACCTCAAATGGTGGGATATATCTTACTATCAACATAGATATTGCTGATATGGTGAATGCAAGAAGAGTACCTACACTAACCTGTAGAATACAAAGTAGGATTTGAATTCAGTTGACAAATCTAACACAAAAACCATTCTGAAAATTGTGAATATAGATTTAGACATACCATCCCAGCAAGTTGAGAGACATCCATGAAAAATGCCAAGGCTGCAGCAACAAGGCCAGTAACTACGGTACTCTTTACAGGAACATAACTGTGCTTACTTATGTCAGAAAAAAATGGTGGAAGCAGTCCATCCCTTCCCATAGCCATCAAAAGTCTCGGCTGAGAGACATTAAACAAAAAAACATATCAAAATTCAGCTTTTGTCGCTTTGATTCGTAAAAAGAAAAAAAAATAAGGAATACAAAAAGAAGACAGAGGGTTCAAATTAGTTTTACCTGAGGCAACGTTCCACCGAGCAATGATGAACATAGTGCTGTAATAGCCCCAACATTTATAATGTATCTGCAATCGCAATCAAGAAAAATGAGTTTGAAAAATCAGAATTGAGTTGCAAATTTATACCACTTACGCTGCCCATTGCAATCCGTTGTCAGCAAATGCAGAGGATATAGGGGTGTTAGGATTGATAGCATAGTAAGGTACTAAACCAACAACAACAATGGATACCATCATATACAATCCACAACACACAGACAATGAAGCAGCAATTCCTAGTGGTAAATCTCTTTGAGGATTTTTCACCTGTTAGATCAAAGTAAAATATTATTACAAAGTATCAAGTTTTTCTCAATGTTTTAAAATAACATTTTGCAACCGCGATGGTGGCCGCGCATAATCCATACCTCTTCAGCAGTACTGGCAACTGCATCAAAACCTATGTATGCAAAAAAAGCTGTTGCAGAACCAGCAATCATTCCATCTATCCCGAATGGAAAATACCTATTATTAAAAGTTAAATAAGAAACAATAAATGTATATATATACAAAAATAGAGTAAGGATATAGTACAAAAGAAAGATGTAAATTACCCTATTGAGAGTTCATATCCAACCCATCCAGATTTGAATCCTAAATAACCGCCAACTACTATCACAAACATCAAGGCACATATATTTACTGATGTGACTATACTTTGTACCATTGTACTCTGCATACAAGTATCAACAATTCAAATTAAAATGAAAGTCTTATCTCTTGAAGTTTACGAAACTAACCTAAGTTGAATACCTCTTTGATGCCAGTACACAGGATCCAAGTAACGATGAATACCATAGTTGCTGCAAGTGGGTCTACAACAATATCAGTACCAGGAATATGTTGATAGGATAAAAATGCTGGCAAGTTGTCAACACCGCCAATAAGTGCAGCCTAATCACATAAATGTTAATCTCATTTCAACACTTTGCATCAGATAATCAATCAAGTTGATCAAAATAACATTATACCAAATTAGGGGTTATGCCGCGAGCAACGGCAGCTCCACCAATTCCGTATTCAAGTAATAAGGACCAGCCAATCAACCAAGCAACCCTGGAAACATAGCTTCGATCATTCAATAAGAAACCTCGTGGACACCGATATGATGACTACGGGAAAATAAATAAATATACCCTTCACCAAGACATATGTAAGCATAGTGATAAGCACTTCCTGCAGAAGGGAAGCGACAAGCCAACTCAGCATAGCAAAGAGCTGAAAGAGCAGCTGCTAATCCAGCAACCAAAAATGAAAGCGGTAAAGCAGGTCCAGCATGTTCCCTTGCCACAGTTCCAACTAGAACATACACACCAGCACCAATTGTTGCACCAACACCTGAATCATATCAAAATCAATTAACAACTCATCAACATAGTTGAAATCAAATAGTATAATACAAAACATAAAATTGATGAGATCCAATCAACACCCTTATGAAAAACATGATTCAAAAGTGTTAGTTGAATTACCAATTGCCATGAGATGAGGAATAGTTAACTCCTTAGCAAGTTGTACTTCATGAGAATTCTTACTGTTGTTGTCCTCAACAAGAGAATTAACCTTCTTCCTCCTTGTTAAAAACCTCCATGAAGATGATAAACCTTCTTGTCCTCCATGATTACTACTACTACTACCAGCAAACCCCATTAAAAAAACTACTTCTTTTCTCTTACTTTTTATTTTTCTTACTGAACAAGCAATATATGAAACACGTTAAGTGCAAGAAATGGAGTAATATAAATAAACATAGAAATCATGTATATTACATTGGAGTGATAAAGATAATCACTTCAAATTTATTATTAGTAATAGTGACATGTTTGGAATATTTTGTGGATGTAATTAAGCTGTAAGACAAATTGCACTCCGTCTCTTTCTCTCAGAGTGGACCCTTATTTGTTATTATCAATGTGATCCTCTTTTATTCTGTCTTTTTCTCACTCTCCCTTTGATTCCTACACTTCTTGTATTTATTTATAGTCACAGTTTATTCTAATATGGTTACTCAATTATAAAATATTACATGGACGATCCTATTTATGGAAATGATACCCTAAAATGTAACGTTATTGTCAAATAATTATACCCTAAAAAGGGTCAACTCACATGACATAGTATAACGTCTATAAAAACATATCCGACGGCATATGTTATTGTCTTATAACCCATTCAGTCACGCAATACTACTTACCTATGTTATTGTCTTCTATCAATTCAATAATGCAATAATTCACTATGTTTTGTATTATATCAATGCATTAAACATAAAATATTTTTTCTATTTGAAATTTTTAACCAATGCCTCGGGCACCGGTTATCATGACTGAATTTATTGGGATCAGAAAGAGATGCGTGACTAGTCTAATTATATATTGGTCCAAATGTTCTTCGGAGGGGGTTACCTGCAATGCACTCTGATGCTGAAGTCAGAAAGAGTGTGAAATAAGTGAGAGTGAGAGTTATGAATAAGATACCTGATTCTCCTATATAGGAGAATATTTATAGAGTCCCTAGCGTTGGGCCAATGACCTCTATTATGGGTTGTGTATCTAGGCCCATAATAGATGACTGCTAGGATTCTCACATGATAGTGAGGATGAGTAGCATGTGTCCCTCATATGTGGACCTCGTAGATAGTGGGTTGATCACGTCCGTTACGAATGATGCAACAGCTCCAAAGAATGCGAAACACGTTGGTGACGTGTCCTTGAGTGGGAGGCACGTGGATAACACGTTTCTAGCTTGGACTCCAATGGATTGGACCATCACTTGGGTTGTCCTTGACGCAAGGGTAAGTTAATTCGTGCCCAACAGTGGGCCAAGTGCGGGTGCAGTCCAGAACAAAAGCCTCCCAAGTCGTTGCTCATAGGCGAAAAAGTAATCACTTAGAGTTAGTCTGTGCATCGAGGAAGATCAAAGGACTCGTGCGGGGTGTAACTTCGTTTATGCTCGTGCCCATATACCTGTTATAACAGTGTTCGCCTTGGGTGATTTTCATTTGTGGGCTAGCGCGCACGAGGATAGTATTCTACCTGCGGTGGATACTGTCTCGTCTACATGGACAAAATAATACATAGGGGTCGTGGTCGACAGTTTCGACCGCTCATGTTCGTATTATAGACTCGACTCTTCTCGTGAGTCGTCATGATGCTCGTAACTTCTCTTTGTTGTTTTCTCTGAGAATGTTCCCGTTGATGGAATGCGAGATTTTTTTGATTTGAGTTCGACATCCAGGGAGTCAAAAAGTCTGCGGATCTTGGAAAGGTAAAAAGATTCGCTTCTCGAGTCACATATTATAGCATTTAATGCATAATGATGGCCTAGGCGTAGAGTTGTGACAACCTATGAGTAGGTTAATGATGTGTCATTTCGAAGACATGCCTTCTCATGTTTTCCACTCAGAGTGTTCTTCCGTCGTTGCTGCCGCCGGAACTTCACCAGTCCCCATTTTTCTTCTTAGCCCAATAAGTTTTCTCTCCTCTTAGTTTCCTTTGTACGTCGTTTTTATAATTTGGTTAGATTTTGATGTGTATTATTGTTTGATGATGGTCCAGCCATCCTAAAATGTCGGCGCCGGTGAGGAATGCTAGGACTTAGACTAGAAAAACTTAGGATTTATAATGATGGTTTGTGAAGTTCATATTTCGGGGAGGCTTTTCCCCGCGAAACTCATGAATTCATGATAAAGTTCATGTAACGGGGAGATTTTTTCCTAAAAAACTCATGAATTCATGTGTTAGAGAGGCGATGTCCCCGTGATGTTCATACATCTTCGTAAGATTCAAAGGTCTCCGTCGAAACTCATAAGCTTGTGAGCATCGAGGGGAAGATCCCAACACAGTTTTGTTGGCAGGCCCATCGAGCCCTGAGCCGGGTGATAAGTGCCAAAATGTCATTATTTTGTGCATATAATTTGTGGTACTTATCGGTTCTTTTTTGAATATTATGTGAATAATTCCCGACTTTGTTCGTAATTGTGTTTAGTTTGTATATAATTGAGTTTTCGATTCATTTGTGTATCATTTGATAGTTTTGATATATTTTTGTAGGTATTGATGCATATTTGGAGCAAGAGCAATAAAGCATCGAAGACACGACTTCAAACGCACGTTTTTGGAAGAAAATAAATATTACAGACGGGGCTAAGCGTGGTCTATGAGAGCTTAGCGCGTCTTGGGAGCTGAAGAGGAAAATTTGGCAGAGGCGATCACGCTAAGCGCGGTTAAACCCACTTAGCACGCTCTAAAGTGGTTTAGTGAATTTAAGTGAAGCCTACTTAGCGCAGCTAGCGTGCTTAGCGCGGTCTGCGGAATTTTGTTTTATAAACTTCATTTTAGTTCATTTTTATGTTATAATTTTGGGGAAGTTTTTGCTCCTAACTCCATCAACCACCAATTTTATTAGGATTAACTTAGATAACTATGGAGCTTGCATACAGATGATTCGAGGTGGATTTTTCTTCGATCGGCGCTGACAAAACAGTAGATCTGTAGTTTATTTCTCTTTTTCTTTGTGCGTTCTGTTTTAGTTGAGTTTGTATATGTATTTACTTTGAACCCATGTATATTTTCCGCCCATGGCGTTATATAAAACTTGCTTTACAAATCTTTGTCGAGTGTTATGCTAGATTTTTGCTCTGTGCTTGGGATTTGGGTTGTTATAGACATATATTGTTCAGATTCTTATCTAGGATGATAGTTTGTTAGTTTCTGGATTCTAGAGATAGATTTAGAGCTGACATTCACTTGGGTGTCTATGATTAATGTCTCTGTGTTGGTTGTGTCGCTCTGAAATATCGTCGATGTGATTAGCACAATTGACTTCTGTGTTGATGAGGTGGTTGAGAGATCGCTACTGAGGTGATACAGTCGGACTCTCAATTTGGGTTAGAAATGACTTAGGTTGTGAGTGATATGTGGTGATATTGACGAGTATTGTAGATTGAGTATAACTGGTAGATAGGTTTAAGTCTATGAGAAGTAGTATATATGCATGCTTGATAAGTTATTCATTTTTCCTTTTAGTACATTTAATTTCTGTTGATAACTTGTACCCTCTCCATTCAATCTCTAAACTCATAAACAAATGATTTGTCGAACAATGACTCAATATTCAATCTCTGTGAACATGATACGATATAACCTATATATCACCAGTAAAATAATACTTTACTTTTTGCTTTCCGCTTTACCGCAACAACAAAATGGCGTTGTTGTTGGGGATTGGTTTATTGTTTTGCATCGTGATAATTTTTTTTTGTTTTTGAGTTTTGTAATTACTGTATATGTTGTATAGAAATTGTACATGAACTTGTTTATATTGAAACTTGTATATGTTTACCAAATTTGTAAATATTACATGTTTTACTTACTTGTGAATATCATGTATATATTTGTTTCTCTTCATATTTGCCAAATGTGTGTTTAGATGTGTATCTCTGATTAGAGCTCGAAAAGGTGAGAGCAAAGGCGATAGTGAAGCATTTGACTCGTCCGAAGCAACGTGCGGTTGTAAATATCAGGCGTCGAGCTTATGAAGTAAAACAAGCATATTTTATTATTTTTTATTTTGTTAGTTTAGGTAGCGTGTTGATTGTTGTTTAAACAAGTTGAAATTGAACCTGTTTTAAAATCTCAAATCTTCACTTTTTAACTTGTTTAAACTTCCAAAAGCTTGTTTTTGTTAGCTTGAGGAAGTGCGTATGTGTGTAAATTCTCTTTAGTTGTGTAATTGAGATTGTGTAGGTGATAGTGGAGATGGAATTGTATTGCATCTGTGTTGTCCTGTTTTTATGCTAACTGGTGTAGCGCGCTTAGCGCGTGTTTTGGCACTTAGTGTGATCTGCTATTTTGCGCCAGTGAATTCTTTTTGTTTCATTTGACCTTCATTTTCCCACTTTCACTAAGGCTTTATTGTATAAAAAAAGTTTTATTTTTCTAATTATTTTGTTGGTTGTTTGTCATCCAATTTTGATCTGGTTGCTTGAGGTCGCATTCAGTGATTTTCCGAGTTTGATCATTTTAACTTGCAGATGTATGGTAATGATAGTTTTCAAAGTTGGTACACGTCAAGTACTCGTTTATCGCTTTCTATAGCATAACATGTTTAAGAAATTTTTCATTTGTATAATTACCATGTCATTCATTCTTTTTTACATTACTTGCTCATGACTTTAATCACTTTAGTTTCCTTTTTATCTATAATTATGAGGAAGCTTTCCATTATTCATATACGCTGGAGGCCACAATTCTTGTTTTAACTGAATTTTATTATGTTTAATCTTTTGTTTGTATTGATTGTATGGAAGCATGAAAGTGATCAAGACATTTTGTTTCATTTTGAGCACAACTACCTTGGCCAAATAGACAATTCACCTTGTGAGTGTGTGATCATTAGTATCCCCTTTGAGTCTTTTTGTCAATATCCATGTTATTTTTGAACTTAACGCTTGTCTATGAGTGTTTGATTTTTCTTTTTGAATGGACATTAATTCTTTGTTTTCTTGAACCCTTAACTATGATTTTTAGTTGAATTTTTACCTTGCCTTATAAAGTAGGGAGTATTCACTCATTGATGTTGGTTGAGTTCAAGTTGGGGAGAACAATGTTTGCTCATTTATTGTTGGTTGCTATGAGATTGAGAAAAAG